CTCGGGTCTCATCTTCAGGGTCAGATTTAGCTCACTTCACACCATCAGGGTCATATTTAGCTCAGGTCACACCTTCAGGGTCAGATTTAGCTCGGGTCTCATCTTCAGGGTCAGATTTATCTTTCAGGACTTCTGGTTTTTATCAATACATTAAGATCTGCTAGCTCTTACTAGCCTTAGCTTAGCACTGGTTCGGGTTTCATCACACGTATTGTGTGCCAGATGTTTAGCTACAACATTACCTCATTTGAAGATAATGGTACATGTATCAAATGTTCTGATATGTCGGCTCTAGTGGAGAGGCCGTCTGATCTGGAGGCTCGACTCTGTGCTTTTGAAAAACCATTAAGCACTTTGATAACAGGTTCTGTTTTAAATGTGCTCTATGAATAAAGATGACTTGACGACTTAAATAGCCAGATGCCCGTAGGCTGCGCAGAATCACTAATGCTAGCTAGGGATAGGGCCGATCCGATCCAGTATCCGTATCGACCTCCGATACCAGTATAATTTACGCATCAGATTTTTCCGATTCACCCTGCAGAGATTTCTGGTTCATGATGCATGTTGGCTTCAAACTATGGAATGGATTTTCTGAATGGAGACGTGTCTCATGAACTCAGAGTAATATGACTCGCCTCACATTCAGGAAATCCAGTTCATAGTTTACATCGGGACTGAGTTAGCAGCACTGTAGCTAACGGCTAACCAACTTTTCATCGAAACATGTCCGCTGTGTGGAAGTATTTTACACTAGAAACGCCACAAAGCAAGACGGCAACATGCAATGTCTGCAGAGCTATAGCGCCACATTAAACCGCGCTAAAGTTAGTTTTACGTTGGACATTCGAGCTCCGTGTCTTCAGCGGTCTGCTCCTCTCGCTAAACCCGAAACAGGCAACTCGACCTCGGCCAGCTGCGCTCAGTCTGCCCGTCTTAGAGGAGGGGCAGACTGAGCGCAGCTGACCCGAAATCGGACTGCCTGCTGCGGATTGAACAAGAAGAAGACACCGCTGAAGCCACAGAGCTCAAATGTTTACAGAGAAGTTGCTAAACTTCATCGTAATTAATGACCAACTGCTATCAGTTTTAGAAAACGAAGGATTTCACAGCTTGCAGCCAAGATATAGTTTACCCTCGTGTATATTTATCAGTACAACAGTAGACAATCATAAAAAAAAACATGATTTGAAAATTTCAAGAAAATTATATAAAAAAAACTAAACAAAAACGGCTACATTATAAAGCAATGTAAAATACTAAAAAACATGTCTTGGTTTATGCCACGAACTTAGCAGATGTTTAAAGCCATTTAATTTTTTATTTAATTCATTTATTCATTCATTTAAGACAAAATAAACAAAACAAATTAATCAAAAACAAAACACTGAATGAAAAGAGTGCAGAAAGAAGAACAAAAATTCTTATCTCCCCCTTATTTAAAAAAAAAAACATAAAATAACTTTAAACAATCACTTAAATTAAATCGCTTTAATATCCACTTTAAAGCTAGGAATAAAAAAAACATGTTTCGTGTTAGCAGAATTTAATTCTAACTTTGAAACTTATATCCAACATTAATAAAACTTACCTCAAGTTGCCTTTTTGGACATGCATGCATATATTTGTATAAATTGTACTTGAGAGATTATTACAGCCTCATATAAAATCAATGATGATGATGATATCGGAACTGGATTGGCATCGGCCGATATCCACATTTAGGTATCGGGATCGGATCGGGAGTAAAAAAAAATAATAAAGTGGATCGGTGCATCCCTAACCGGAACCACAGGCCCGTGTAGTATCGGCCCAAAGTAAGCCTAAAACTAAACCCCCAGCTAACCACGATCTGTTCATGTTTCAAATTATTATTCTGTTCAAAACCACGTTTCAAACCAGTTTCCTCCACTTAGCTGCCCTGAACCTCAGCCCCACTGGGTGACAGTCCAAAGAAAAAAATACTAAAACTAAGCCCTCGGTCAACCACCGACCCGTTCAAGCTTCAAATCCATATTCCGTGCTTAGTGAGATGCAGACTCTCGTTGTTGGCAGCTCCATAGTTCGAAACGTGGCACCTGCGACTCCAACCACAGTCAAATAGGGGCCAGAGCAGGCGACATCGAATCCCACCTGAAACTACTGGCTAAAGTTGAGGCTAAATACAGTAAAATCATTACGCATGTCGGCGAAAATGACACTTAGCTACGCAAATCATTCATTCAACCTTTATTTCTACACGTTAATCCCATTCAGCCTCGGGGACTCATTTACAAGAGAGACCTGATTTTAACAAAGAGTCATGACAACAGTGGACAATAGACAATCATAAAGAATGCATACAAATTTATTTATTTTTATTCTTTTTATTTTTTTAATAAGTGAAAATAAAATGGTAATCAAAAGGAAAAATAGCAAAAAAACAGCTAGGTTGTAAGGTGGTGTAGAAAAGTAAAAACAGGAACATGTCTGCATTGGTTTTTCCCAGGAACTTTACAAATGTTTGAAGATACTAGGGCTGGGCGATGTATCAATATTTTAAAAATATCGAGATGATTTAAAATGCGATATAAAATGAGACTATATCGGTATAAAACGTTATAGTCTTATACTCTGCTTTCAAGAACATAGGAACTTTTCAATTCAGAAAGAAACGAGCTGTAATCAAACAGAACCGAGCTCAGTAAACAAGCCAACTACACAACAATGTGGGCTTTCTAACAACTTTGTTAATAAAGGTTAATAAAGGTTGAATGAATATACTTCATTAAAATCTAACTGTTTAAAGAGCAAGTCATCCTTTCATCGTTTGCTCTGTATGTGTTATGTTTTAAGTGATTCAGCTGCAAGCTGCGAAATCCTTCGTTTTCTACAGCTGATAGCGGTTTGTCATTAATTACGATGAAGTTTAGCAACTTGTCGGTAAACATTCGAGCTCCGTGGCTTCGGCGGTGTGTTCTTCTCGTTCAGTCCGAAGCAGGCAGTCTGATTTTGATCAGCCGCGCTCAGTCTGCCCCTCCTCCGAGGCGGCCAGATTGAGCGAGGCTGATCAAAATCAGACTGCCTGCTTCGGACTGAACAAGAAAAACACGCCACCGAAGCCACGGAGCTCGAATGTTTACCGAAAAGTTACTTTACTGGCTTTTTTTTTTTTTTTCTTTCCCCTTCTTGTCCTGTCCGGCATTGTGA